CATTTTGATTATCTTTTACTCTTGAAATTACTGCCTTTTGAAAAAATATGAGTCTTCTACAAGCAGTAAAAGACAACCCACCTACAACCCAGCCTGATCTTCAAGAGGGCAATCACAACTAGGGTCCTGGTGAGTACTCCTAGCATTATAAAAGGACTGTCATTGTCCTTGCAAGAAATTTCAGATACTTTCTATAAGCCAGATGCACTGACAAGTTTGGTTCTGATCTCAGACATCAGAACAAACTATGTGATGCTGCCAGGAAGTTCAAAAGGCAAGAAAACTGCACAGGACCTGAAACAATGTCCCTAAAGTGCTGAGACTGAAAAAAGACAGAAGACAAGTTTCCAGCCTTCTTCTTACATTGTAGCAGTACTGGAAATAAAATCTCTTCCCTCTTTCACTCCATGGATACTTGCCATAGATCCCCACAGGTATATGAGAGTATTCATTTTGTGCCAGGGTATCTTGCAAAAGGAATGTGTACCTGAAACTGGTAATATACTCTTTTGTGAACATCCTGAGGATATCTGAGACTAAGGTAACTCAAGCTAACCCCCTTAGCTCTTAGAATCTATACTGCACTCCCAGACACTCAGCATACATGACATATATTTACTTAGGAGTAACATACGTGCAAAAAACTTTCACCTTCCCACCACCAGCTGTGAAGAAAATTCATTAATAAGCAGTTTTGGAACAAAGAGGAGAAAAGCCCATGAAGCACTAATGTAGAGGAAGGATGCAACAATTCAATATTTTCAAGAATTTGAAGAAAAAAGATCATTCTATTCCACAATAGATATTGCACTAAAAAATTAACCAGACTAACTGAAGTTCTGCAAACTTTAAGTGAGATAATTTACTATGTGCTGTTATAAGCACAACTGCGAAACACATAAAAGCATGATCATCTAATTCTTCCACAATTTATTAATTTCTTTTGAAAATGATGCTAAAATAAGGAATGTAATTTAAGCATGCTGACAGCAAACTATTTACACAAGATTGGTACATAAATAGCTCTAATTCCTACACTAACTTAAACTCATCCGTTTCCAATTTAATTTTCATATTAAGAAAATAGTGGGGAGAATTGTTTCAACTGTTTTGATTTTGTAACATAAAAACTAAATGCCTCAAATGAAAATTGGATAGCCAGAGAGAGACTTTGACAGATAAAAATATTTACTAAACATCACTACTTCAGTTTACTTCATGCATTTCATAAGACTTTTCTCTTATGTAAATCAGATTCTATTTCAAAATGATACCATGCCCTTGTCTCAAAGTCTTGTTATAAAGAATGCCTTAGAAGGAAAAACTGCATAATTGAAATTAAAATTAATAAGGTTAAAAACTGAAAGTTATAAAGAAAAAAACTAAGCTGTGAAACACTGAAAACCAATCAAAACTGTTTGAAAAGTTCTAGATGCTGGAAGAAAGCTATGCTTTAAGTAGCACTCTGCACTACTTCATCAGAAACACTAAAACATTGAAACAACCATCCCAGCAAGCAAAACTGTGAATACTTCATTTTTTATTTATTTTGTTTCAGCATTTAGACTGTTTTAGGAAACAGATATTAGACCAAAGCCTCACCAGGTATCAGCAGACAAATAATAAATTGTCTCTTGGGCAACTATTTACCTTGAAAACTATCAGCCAATTTTTTGGTCAAATTTAGAGTAGCTGAATTACTACGGCGTGCCAAAGCCGTCAGACTGCAGCAGGAGTGGGATGGGATGGCATGGGAGGGGATGGGATGGGATGGGATGGGATGGGATGGGATGGAGCTGCCACCACACACAGGCAGCCACTCCCACTCATACCAGCTGGGCAAGCCAGCTACAGCCCTGACTGTGGGGTCAATAGCAGGAAGATGAGTCCTTCAGGAGCTGTGTACACTCCTGCAGAACAGCAGCTGGGAAGAGAGACGTAGGAATGAAGACCTCAGTGTTGGAGTGACACTTCAGTCAACTCTTGAAAGGAATCCATTTGACTTGATTCCAGCTGTAGACCAACCTGGAAAACTGCTTGTAGGCTAGAGTTTTTTCTATTAAAATAAATGAATCTTCCAGGTGAGTGTGTCTGAGTTGGTAAGCAGTAAAGTCCATTCTCAAGGCAATGCTACCTTCTTTCATGTCATTTGCTAGTGTCTTCAGGTGCTACTGCAATGGTCAAAAGAAGTATGTAAAAAAAATTATCCAGCATCCTATTACAAGTTATTGCAACCTATACAAGACCTGGTAAAGGTCTTATATAGATTGCATATATATACATATATTTGGCTTGATCCCAAGCCATTTTTTCCAGGAAATAACCAATTCCAAACTGATTCACTACATTAATAAATTAACTGAGACACTATTACAATTAGAATTTTATTAACATCATTAAGTTTCCTTTAGCTGGACAATGGCTTGAGGGCAGGGGGAAAATCCAGTAACTTTAAAATTCTTCCAAACTGACAAAACTTACAGGATCAGAAACATGAAGGCCAAGTTGGTACATTTCAGTTCCTGAAAGTTTTCCAAAATAAACACTACATTATATGAAATGTTTGAAGAAGAAATCTATATAAACATGCTAATAAAAAACTCCACCTTTCTTGACCAGGCAAGTCACTAAAGAGTAATGTGAACTGTGCATGTAATGGCTCTGTTTGTTATACAAAACACAGTATTTTATTACAAACTGCCAACAAAAGAAGTACACTTCTAGAGAGCTTTCTCAGGTTTAATTTCCTCTCAAGACCAGAAGAGTGAAGCCAATACTCAGGTGAGAAAGGTGTCTCCCTGCAGTGCTTAACATATAGACACTATTTGGTACAGCTTTTTGCTAGAAAAGCAATGCTGAGGAGTCCTGGCTGTGAGTAACCAATACCCTTCCCCTGGTCACCATAACACTGAGCACAATGAGGGATATGAGCTCTAATAAACATCCTGAGAAAAAAAAGCTTGGCCAAAATTTTCCAGAACAAATTCACTGCAATGTAGGTCTGTGCATACGTATGCCTTGTAGAATGGACATTTTGGTGCAAACTTAATTACTGGACATCTTTTGAAGAAAACTGTACATTTACTGGACAAAGCTATTTGTTTTGTATTAGGGTTTCAATGGTTTTCCATTATGTAAACAAAATGTAGGACCTAGGTAAAAACATTTTTTCCCCCTCACACACAAGCACAGTAAAAACATCCTCTGCTGCCTACCTGGGGAGTGAGCCTTGGAAGAACACCACTCACACAATGGGCTGTAACAATGAAAATCTAAAACCTAACTGCTTTCCCAGCCACACTGCTAACAGAACAAAGTACGTTATTTGGGCTTCAGATAATTACCAGCCATCTCTGACACAAAACTAGGAATATGGTCCTTTTATTTTTGCCCCAGGTAGACAAATTTTCTTAAATGAAAACAGAATACAGCCTGACTCTATTTGGTATGAAAGGAGTGCATTATCCAGCTTGGGGGAGAAAAAACAGGGAAACCCTTCTTATCTTGCTTCAAAGCTCGTTGGTAGTGGACAAAAAAAAAAAAAAAAGGAATCAAGTAGCTTCACACCCTTGAACTTCTCTTGTTCTGCTGTCTCTTCCACTTGCCTTCTTCTTTCAGTTTAAAATTAAACTGTTTTTCCTTATTTGTAAAACAACAATATACTTCTGACTGAAAAAAAGGCCCCTATGATTTCATAATCTGCTTCTAATTGTGTATTTATTCTCCAAACTGAAGAAAGGTTGTGAGGGGTTATAAATAAGAAGGAGAGGAACACCTCTGAAAAAGATTCTCTCAGACAAAACACCAGATGCATATGGAAAAGACACTGAAAATCAATCAAGATAATTCATGGTATCATTTTGATTCTGTCAGCAGTGTCACACTGACCATTTTTGTGGAAAAGAGAGCTTCTTCTAACATAAAGGAAGGGCCAATTACATTCTCCCCAAATTTAGGGACGGGCAGTTTTAATACCTTCCAATCCATTTATTATTCCCAGACAAGTGGGAAAAATGTTACTATAAATCTCCACTTTATTTTTAATATAACCAGGTGTTTATAGCTATGCACTTCAGGCAAGAGTTTCTGCTATTCATCCAGTACTTCTGCCTATTTAATCACATCTCCTATTTCCCATGTAGTCTCTTTCCTTCCCATGTGAAATTCCTTGTAGGAGAATACAGTTAAAGAACACTTGATGGAACTCCCTAGCATTTTATTACAAACCACCATTGAAACACTCTTGAGAATGATCAACAGACAAAATGATACACACCACAGATCAGACTCACCTATTTTAAGAAAACAATATTTCTTCTCCACCAAGACAAAACACTGTGATACTCATAATTAATGATTGTACTATAAAATGTAATACAAGTAAGCAGTACTGAAAATTCACACATACTCTTAAGCATAGCCTCCATTTTGATATATGCTTGTTTCACTGACCCTTACACAAGTGCCCTACATCATAGTAACATTGATAGTAAATCAGAAGGAAATTAATTTAATGAAAGAGCAGATGAATAACAGCACCTCAGGGAGTCTGAAAATTTTAAGAGGAAAAAAAACTGCACCAACAGAAATATTTGTATTTTCCATAGAAACGTCCATTCAGGACTAGGAAGAATGGGTACGTTAATAATACTGATGCCTTAGAAGAGTGGCAGCTGACAGCCAGATTTCCCCCTTTTCAATTTAGTATACAAATCTTCTCTTGTACTTAAACCTTTAAGTACAAACACTGAAATGCTGTTAACTAATATAACTATTTGGGAATTACATGAGCTCATACTAAAAGGAGTGAGGTAGGACTATGTTTTAAAATCACAGTTTCTAACTGAACACCATTTTCACATAAAATCTATCATCACGATGTTTAACACACTGTATTTGTAGGCTTCAATAGCAAGACAATGATGTTCTGATTATCGCCATTTAAACCAACAACATGCAGTAATAAAAACCAATCTTTTGTAAAAGAGTAAAATAAATACCTGCAGGACTGCCAGCATTTTCTCCTTGGTGCAGCTGAATACCAGCAGAATCTATAGAGTTTACTGTAACTGTCTGTAGATTTGGCAATTGAGCAGTGCTTAGACTAACTGGAGTTGATGTCAACGCACCACCTGCTGCAACTTGACCAAGAGTGAGAGTCTGCACAGGAGTCAGAGTTATTTGTTGACCAGGTGCATTCTGAATTTGCAAGTTCTGCAAGTTCTGAACTCCTTGCACTTGAAATGTCTGCCAGGTTATCTGCCCAGAAGGGGTCACTGTTTGTGCCTGAATTAGGAAAGTTCCAGGATTCAGCTGCAGTTGAAGATTTTGAAGAGCCTGTTGAGATATACTTTGACTTGCTTGAACACCATGGATTGTCTGTTGCGCGATACCTTGTACAATCTGGGCTTGACTGGTTGGCTGCTGCGACTCTTGTAGCTGTATGTGTTGTACAATTGGCTGTGCTGTGGAGACCTGAATATTCTGAGCCTGCGTGTCATCAGAGACTGATGTCTGGATGTAATTTCCCTGAAGATCAGAACCATGAACTTGACCACTAGTTGTGGTCAAGTCATTTGCATTTTGTTCCAATATACTTGAACTGTCTATGGTAACGGGCAATTGTGATGAAGATGACGTTGGCACAAATAAGTCATTATCAGTGGCAGTTTCTGTAATTTCAGGAGAAACTTGCTCACCAGTCCTCTCAGAAGTATCTGAACTATCCATGGCCTGTCCAGTATTTATCAAGTGCCCATCTGCATTAATGCCTGCTGTCATGGTTTGAGAACCACTGCCAAGTCCCAGAGAATCTAGATCAACACTATTAATGGGTACAAAAGTAATATTCCCTGGCAGTCCAAGAGGGACGTTAGCAACCACTTGCGCTTGGCCAGGGTAAGACGAACCACCAATTGCAACTCCCTGAACCTGGACTTGACCAGACTGACCAGATAAGATATTCTGAATATTAGCTGAAGATGTTCCAGAGGCAATGATGGTTTGATTCGAGCCAGGAATGATCTGAATTTGACCAGTTTCTTGATTTATACTGCTATTATCAGAAGAGGCTGCAAAGCCAAGTTGAACCTGCTGACCATCCGCTGTCTGGATCTGGGGTATTACTTGGTATTGTACGTTAGACACTGTACCATTCGACGAATCTGATCCTGGTGCAACAGAAAAGATTTGTTGATTTTGCAAACTCTGAATAGGAAGGACATACTGCCCACTTGAAGTTACTGTGGCAGCACCTGGAATCTGTACTATATTACCAGCTTCGTCCTTTATAGTGGTAGGAGCTGCAGACAAGACCTCCCATCTGTTTGGAGCTCCAGCTAATTGCACAGAAGCCAAATCCCCTGTCTGAATAAAAAGAAAAAAGAAAACAAAAAATTAAAACAAATGTTGTACAGACTACGTGTTAGACCAGTCATGCAATTCAGCACTAGATATTGACACACTACTGGAAAACATGCAGCACATATGACCATCAACAATTGGATCGAAACTTGAAATACAGATTTTTATAAGGATCTGCTGCCTAAGTCAGGGTAGCCAGCCTGCGGCTCATGAGCTGCACGTTGCTCGCAGACATGTCAAATGCAGCTCCTGTGTCATGGCTATGTCAGGTGACCAGCAGCAGGGTTATTCTGGTGGCAGGGCTGCTGGGTAACCCAAACCCCTGGCTGTGGGAAGCAGGGAGCTGGCAGGGGCTGCTGGAGTTCTCCTCACCTGAGACTCAGACACACTCTTTGCCCAGCTAGGCACCTCCTGCACACACGTGGAGGAACCACCATGAAGCCAGGGCTGCCTCTGTCTCCTGGAGCTCCCTGCCTTCCAACTCTGTTTGCTATTTGTGCATGTTGTGACCCCCAGCAGTACACAGAATGTTAAGAAGTGATGTAGGCACACAGTTGGAAAGATAGGACAACCTCAGTTTGCTGCACTTAACACAAAGCTCTAGTATTTATAAGCTTGTAGGAGTTAGTTTTGCTAAGGAAGAAGACTTCTAGACTAAGAACTTTTACACGGAAATAATATTTGTATTAGTCATATGCATTCAGTTAGGAGGGGAAAAAAAAATCTTTCTTCATTAAGTTGGAACAATAGAAAAGGCCAGTGCTTCAGAGTAGACCCCAGATGCCTAAAGAAACTATTATGCATTTGGTTTTTATTCAGTAAAGAAAAGGTAAATTGCACTTACCTTTCTTTACCAAAGCAAGCTTTTTCAGAATAGAGTATTAAGATTTAGATTTAACATCCTGCAATGCCTAGCACAGATTTGCATAGTCAACCAGACTGGTACTGTAAGTAACCATCAATCTAAAAAATATGAAGTTCTCCTTATCTGTTTAACCATACTACAGTAAACCAATGGAAAAACATAATTAATAGCAACATGTAACTAACTTGTCCTACAACCAATTCAGCTCTGTGAAACAAATCTAGTCTCTCTGGCAGAGTCCAGAGGACATAGAAAGAACAGCTCTGGTTTGTCCTTCTGCACTCATCCTGCGCTCACTCCTGGTAGGGAAGTTACCAGAACAAATCACAACTTCTTTGTGATGCTGCATTCTGACTCCCTTTAGAACAAAACCAGGACATGCAAAATACAGCATACATCTAATTCTTACCTAACATAGAATGCTATGTTCAGATCTAGCCAGTCTGAAAGAATGCTGCAGTATGCACCTGAATGAATTTAGTCCACATTAGATGGGACTTTGCTCGTTTCACATTCTTATCCTATTCCATCCCATAACACTACAATGTTTACAAGTACAGGAAAAATAGTGTATTTAAATCTGAGTACTTACTACAAGTTTGACTGTGCTACCAAGCTTCATTTTCAATAGGAAAGCACATATTGTGGTTCTAAATTCTTCTCAAGAACTGTAAAAATAATTATTGTGCAAAAAGCAAAAGAATGCTAGCCTTCTTCAAAAAACTAGACCCTTGACTCTTATTAAGAGTTGGTCTCCATGATCCATGGGGATCCTTTCCAGCTCAAAATATTCCATGGTTCATAAGTGTGATTCATAATTTCTCAAGTAGTATATTAGTAAATAGATTCAGCATCACCAGAACAAAACTAATTTTATGGCCTTAATGCTTCAAGGAAAAGAAACATAATGAGGACAATAATAATTCTCTTTTATTATTTTCTTTCTCTCTTATACTGAAATTTGTTGGTCTTTCAAGCTTGTAACTTACAATACTAGAAGAAAAACATGCAATATTCCATGTCACATATCTTAACTAGAAGAAGGCAACAAGTTCTGTTTTCCTCTGCTACCATATTACCTTTATAGACTTGGGCTTAATATTGCTTAAAGTTGCTGAAATGCTGCTAAGAAAGTTCATAACTACACAATTCACAAGCATATAAATACCTATTAACTGAAGGTTTCATATAATATCAAAAGACCTATAAAAATCAGGGGTAAACATCAGTCATACAATACCAAAAGCAAAAATTTGACTGTTATATGTTTAAAGTGTGTCATTATAAAATAAATGTATAATATAATGTGTTGACAGCTGTTGGAACAAAAGAGAAAAGAAAAGCAATAAAATCCATTACAAGTCTAATGTAATTTCTCACTGATTGAAAACTAGGTACAAGCAAATGTTGAAAGCTTAGGTTAAACTGGACTGATCTAATATGCAGTAACATGTCAATGTCTATTCATATGTAATATCCTCCACAGAAATACTTCAAAGGGAACCTGTCTCCTTAGTGATATGGAAATGACCTACTTTATTCTTCTCCCAAAACATATGTTGATTTCCATATTGGCATTTTCATGTTGGGCACACATCTCACGTTTTCATGATCTAGTGAAATCTTCCCTCAAAACCTGCTCTGCAAGGATTTTAGCACAACAGAGCCAATCTTTTAGTAGATGCACTTGTCAGTCCATGGAGAAGTTCAGGGCAGCCACGCATGAGGATATGAAGCTATGCTACACACACAACATAAAATGCCTGTTATTCACATTGCTCTTACAGCTGGCTGTATCAGACACCACCAGCTGAATCCTGTGGAGGGAGGAGCAAAAAGAGGGTGAGGCTTTCAAGAAGCTATCTGGCAGCTATCAAAATTGCTAGCATTAAAGCATGAAAAAACCCGTATGGTAAGGAGTATTTGAGGATGATCTCTAATCTGAAATGGTCATTATCAGCCTGTCATAACAAGATTGACTGTTATGTTCTTTCACAAAGTCTCTTGACACAAGAAGACATTTCTTGGACTTCCTTTCCTACTAACTAAAGAGTAATAACCATTCTTTATGTCCTCAGGCAATTAAGCAATTTTGAAGTAACTCAGGAGTTCTGCCACTGATACATGAGCAGCAACATCTGCAGCCCAGTCACTTACTGAGCTTTACATTCAAAATACACCAGTTTGCTGTCTCAGCCAGCATTTCTCAGAGGAAATTATTGAGAGGGTAGAGATAAAGCAACAGTTTCCTTATCAGCGGGTACTCAGGCAGCAGTTATTTGGCAGCTGCTCCTTTAAGAGAAGGCTGGACTGTTGCAATCCAAATGCTATTTCAAGAGGAAGGGACAAAGATCTGAGGAAAGTTCAGCACAACTCAGCCAAGGAGGAGAGAACAGGAAGCAACAGGGAATTCACTGGAAGCAGCATCAGGAAACAAGAAAAAGAGACAGGAACAGAGCAAAGAAAGTAGCTGACACAAGGCATAGGATGAATTAAATCAAATTATATGTCCACCGGAAGAAAGGTCAAGTACCAACAAAGAGTGAAAGCTACAACCACTGTTCAGCCTGTCTTTTGATTCTTTAACAGGCCTTGTATAATTTCCAGGGCCTAAAATAAAGAGATGTCCTGAGAGAAAAGTCTCATCCCTGAAGAATCATGAGCCATGATAAATAAAAATCTAGTAATTGTCTTGTTCAATATATTTAGATAAAATTGCAGCAACATTAAGTCAAATGTGGAAGGAGATAAGAGAAAGCAGATAAAATCCTTTTCAGAAGTGATCTAAACCATACTGAATGACAGGACTTGAATATTAATTAAAATTAATATTTACTTTTATATTAATAAAAATTAAATATGCTTCACCAAAGTAAAATGGAGAGTAGGAAAGCAGAAAAAGACGCCTGTAAAAACTGGTATTTGTTGTAGACACCTGCATCTCAACATGTCAAATGGGCACATGTCATTAGCCATCAGTATTTTATTACAAAAGTCCATCAAACATTTATCTGTGCTGGTGGACAGCTTTTTACTGCACTTTTCAGAAAGTCCCTTTGGCCCCATTTAGCCCTGGAGCAAAAGCATCAGCCAAACAACCAGATGTGGAAAGATAATGAGTCACAAGCTCCTAAACATTCAAAAATCACACACCTAATGAAGAAGATTGGACACTGCCTCATCCAAATTGTTGTTTTATGAAAGAGTTAGGGTTCTAATGCATGGGTTTAATAATACCATGTGTTTACCAAGCTACAGTAAACTATCTGTGCATTCTTAGGTCATTACAAATACAAGATAAAATGCACTTGCTTCAAGTCTTTCATTAAAGTATGAGCTAATACATTCTATCTTGTATTTGCCATAGGTTAAAAACACGTTCAACATCAGTCACTGTGGTTCAGCTGACACAAAGCTGTTTGTTAAGAGAAATTAATTCTGTTGCATGTTTGAGCCCTCTGCCAATGAAGCCACTCAATTTAGAGAAATACTTCTGCACAAATCAAATGTTTGGAAAAACAAAGAGCATTTGGAGGAAAAAACATTATCTGGGGCTGCTTAAAATCTTATTTTAAAAGAAACTCCCAACTGGTGAAATCTATCTAACTGCATCTCAGTTAAAGAATATCTACATCTTTTTGCTTGACATGGACAACTGGAGCTAAAACTTCAACAGTTTATCAATCAGCAGAAGTTCAGAACTTTTCCACAATATCCCTGACCTTAGTAGAAACAAGGAAGCTGAAGTACTAAGAAACTAGTAAACATTTTTAACTAGATCATAAGTTATTATCTTTTGTTTATTAATTATTAAATCTATATATGTATACGAATCTCAATGTAACTGCATGCCAAACTAGCACTCTATGGAATGGTTTTTCTTCCTGCTTTTAACTCAGCTGCTGAACGGTCTATCAAATCATCAAGAGAACAAGAAAGAGGGCCTGGGATCAGTCAGCCTTACAGCTTGATCTTTGGAAGGCACTGGAGCAAATAACCTTGAAAATAACCTTGAAAATAACCTTGAAAATATTAACCTTAATTGAAAATAATCTTGAGGGTAAAAAAACCAGTAGTGTTCAGAAGTAGTCAGCCTACACTTAGGAAGGGGAAATAATGCTGAAATAACTCACCTCAC